AAGTTTAATGGATAATTTGTACAGTTTGCTTTGATTGTATGGTAGTGGCCTAGTTAGATCAGTAATATAAGTTTAATGGATAATTTGTACAGTTTGAATTGATTGTATGGTAGTGGCCTAGTTAGATCAGTAATATAAGTTTAATGGATAATTTGTACAGTTTGAATTGATTGTATGGTAGTGGCCTAGTTAGATCAGTAATATATCAGTTTCTAATTTCTTATCTGTATATGTACATTTATTTTTCCTAGTTAATTGTTTGGGTGCTTTATTAAATTTTCTTTTGTATTTCCTATGAACTTTTATTCCCTTGTCTATATTTCTTTACTTTATGGTGATTACAAGTGTTGAACTTAAGATTAATACTAGATTTTGAGATACATATTTAGCTATAAAACAGAATGTAAATAAGGCTTTATAATGTGCTTTGAATACATGATGAGAATGAGGGATGAGCTTGAAATTAGCATGGGATGTTGAATATGAAAGTTACCTAAAATTAAATATGTGAGTGACATTAAGAGTGTATGTCATGTTTTGTTTGCATAGTGCCTTTGCTTTCAACTACATCCTTTCTACCCTGCATTTGACAAGAACTGGATATTTATCCTTGTTCTAGGTGTGGCTATGGACTATTTGATATGTCCATTTTCTGTATAGTATTTTAGTACATACTATATTGTTTTAATCTTTTCTGTAAAGACGTTATATATTTCAAGTAATGTTTTCCATGTGTTTGGAAAGATTTTAAAGTGATTTGAAATTTGAAAAGTTTGGACTCAACTAACTCTTTGGGGCTTCAGTGTTAACCACTAGGGTCATTAAAGTTATATATAAAATCTAAATTCAATGGATAATACATGCAATAAAATTGTCGAAATTGAATACTGAAATTTACTATAAGTTCACTATGACCATGGAAACACCCAAATGCTGTTTTCTGAGAGTTTTTGTAATTTTACTGCATATGTGAGCACTGTAAGATAGTATAAAGCAACAATGAAAGTTGTAGTATATGGATATGGATATGTAGTATATGTTTACTTTCGATGACGAGGAACCCACTTTGAGACTAATAATGGCTGGAGACGGCTTAAATGGGTAATGAAGAAAAACTTTAATATAAGTTTAACATGACAGCAAATGTACAACGTTTCGACAAGGTTTTGTCATCATCAGGTACTGGTGATGACAAAAACAATTACATCATCAGGTAATTCATGAATTACAGTCCAGAGTACTTCCTGTCTGTCAAGGTTTCATGAATCATGGTCCAAAGTACTTCTTGTGTGTTGAAGTTTTGTGAATCATGGCACATAGTACTTCCTATCTATTGAAGTTTCATGAATTACAGTCCAGAGTACTTCCTGTCTGTTGAAGCTATATGAATCACGGTCCAAAGTACTTCTTGTCTGTTGAAGCTATATGAATCACGGTCCAGAGTACTTCTTGTCTGTTGAAGCTATATGAATTACAGTCCAGAGTACTTCCTGTCTGTTGAAGCTATATGAATCACGGTCGAGAGTACTTCTTGTCTGTTGAAGCTATATGAATCACAGTCCAGAGTACTTCTTGTCTGTTGAAGCTATATGAAGCACAGTCCAGAGTACTTCCTGTCTGTTGAAGCTTTATGAATCACACTCCAGAGTACTTCCTGTCTTTGAGCTTTATGAATCATGGTCCAGATTACTTCTTGTCTGTTGAAGCTATATGAATCATGGTCCAGAGTACTTCTTGTCTGTTGAAGCTATATGAATCATGGTCCAGAGTACTTCCTGTTTGTTGAAGTTTTGTGAATCACAGTCCAGAGTACTTCTTGTCTGTTGAAGCTATATGAAGCACAGTCCAGAGTACTTCCTGTATGCTGAAGTTTTATGAAACATGGTCCAACGTACTTCTTGTCTGTTGAAGCTTCATGAATCATGGCCCAGAGTACTTTGTCTCTTCAAGTTTTGTGAATCACAATCCAGAGTACTTGCTGTCTGTTGAAGTTTTATGAATCACAGTCCAAAGTATTTCCTGTCTGTTGATAATTTGGGTTGTTGAGGTGAGTTTCGAATTCGACTAACTTTTACAAAATTAGGAATTTTGATTAACACTGTCAAGTTTCCACAAAATTATTTATCAGATTTTTGATGATTTAGAAGTGTTAGAATATTCTACAAAATGAAGAAGTACAATACAGTTGGTCATTGCATAACTATAAACCATTTAAGATATTTCTTGTTTTCTTTTCTCATTGAATATTGATCAGAAGTGGTCTTCACCTGTTTGAGAACTTGTTCTGGGATCAAGGAGGCATGCTTGTTGACTATGTAATTTTTCTGTTTTATGAGTAAGCAAATGCATAAAGTTAAGGCAAGCTCATATAACACCCAGTTAAACTAAGCCACTATGATGACTGTGAAAAGTAAACTACCACAACCCTGTGCTCTTCAGCAAGTTAATTTTAATTTTTCATCTAAGTTAACATTACTTCCTTGAAGCTTTTTATCCTGGCAAGTTTAACAGAAGAAATGAGTAGTTTTAAGCTCAGTTTACCGTAATGTATAGTAGGGATAAAGTTCAATCAAAGACTATTTTTAAGCATTTTGTATTCTTTCTCTCGCTCTCTCTTCATCAATACTTATTAACGTTCAAGCAATGAATAAACATTTAAAACTACAGGGTGTCCAGAAAGTTTGGAACCACAGGCACTTCAAAGAATTTTATAGAATGTGTTCCACATGCTGTATTTGTAGTTTGAAACAAGCTTGGATTAACAGCAGGATAAACACTCTTGCTATAGGTATTCTTTCCTGCACATGTCGTGGGGTTTTACTAAGTTACATTCAAAACTTAACCAAATGACTTTATTATCAAGGTATACAAATAAACTTGGTAGAAAAATGAAGCTAATAATCCAAATGTTAATAGTATGCAAGTTTTATGTTCTTGTTTTATAAAGTAATATTTAAAAAACCTCACTTTCCCCCTAGTATGAAAATTGTGACATTTGTTCTCTAAGCATCTCCTCTTCTATAATTTATTTACCACCTCTTATCCACCTGCCACACCCACCTATCACATTTGATCTTCAACAAATTGCCAATAGTTCTCTCTCTGACATTTAATACTATATTATTTATAACCAACAGAAAGCCAGGGTTTTAATCAATCAAATGACGTTTTATATTATGTTGTTTTCTATATAGAGAATTGTATACTTCACTTCCATTTCAAATTTTATTCCCACAGAAAACACATCGATGAGCTTAGCTGAATTTTTATTGGCCCTTGTCACAAAGTTAGAACACCAGAAAAACTATGAAATTATAAGAAATTGTCTGCTTTTTACATGTTACTATTCTGAGTTCTTTGTTGCATTAATTAACTAAATAAAAAAAAATTTAGTGCAGTATTACTCTTAGTATACAAAAAAAGTAGGGTCAAGTGGCATTGACAGTCAACAGCAAAAAAAAAACATTATTTCTTGTTTTTTTTATGTGTATTCTTTATCTATTATTATAAAAGTAACTAAAATGTAAAAATTTGAAACTTTTTATGTTAGATTAGGTAATATAACAAATATTTATTAAAATGTTCAATGGGTACTCTTGTGAGTAGCTCATGCATTATGTAATTCGGTAGGGGTAATGTGAGCTACATTCACCAAGTGATTTCCAACTTGTATGAGAAGAATAGTATAGCCTACAATTTATCATATGCATATCAGTTTACATTCAAACCAGACTATACTACTCTTTGTTTGACTCTAACCATTATTAAACATAAGCCTTTATGTGCTAATGAATAATCTTAAACCTTGATCACACGCTAAGTCAGAAATTTTTTTCAAAAATTCAAGCGTATTAAAATAAAGCTCACAACAAAAGTAAAACAATATCTATCTTACATTCTCTTATTCTTGCCTTGGAATTCAAGCATATTAAAATAAAGCTCACAACAAAAGTAAAACAATATCTATCTTACATTCTCTTATTCTTGCCTTGGAATTCAAGCATATTAAAATAAAGCTCACAACAAAAGTAAAACAATATCTATCTTACATTCTCTTATTCTTGCCTTGGAATTTAAGAGTTCTTCTTTCACATGCTCCTTAGTTTCTTCAGTTTTTTGCAGCAATGTCTTCACTCTAGTAACATCTTGAAAGGCCGAATCTCTCTCTTTCAATGCCACATCCAGCTGGATGCTAATTTCTTTTAGCTCCATTTCTTTTTGTGTGCTATAAGAAATTAATGAAAATAGTATATAAACTAATAGCACTACTATACTATATTGATTCCTCACTTGAACAATCGCATCTTCAATCTCATATCATATCTTAATTAAAAAAATAATATAAAACAATAACACTATGGTATATATTTATTTTAATGATTATTTTGTACTGTTTGTTTAATATTTAAATTTAGTACCAACCTAAATCTCCTAAGCTGGCCAAACCTTACGAAATATTGTGTTTATGCATAAAAATATCATTATTAGCAGGAGCGTCCAATTGATGAATCGATGCCTTCTGATGATTAAATGTTTTTATTTTATGATTTTGCATATTCTTGGTAAGAATAGTGTTTTAAATTAGCTATATTCATTACTATATTAATTTTTAGTTCTGATTAATGTAAGTCACCTGCTTTGATAAATTACCTCTGTAACTGAAAAAATTAGATTTCTTTTGGTTATCCTCACCAATAACACTTCAACAAGTACTGGTTTCACATTAACACTTTCGATACGAGTAGGTCAAAGTGCATGTCACGACTTTTTAGAGAGTTACATTTAAAGTTTAATCAAAATTATTAATTTTCATTGTATACGAATAAATGTGGCATCATAATGTAGTCAATAAATCAATTTTAAATATTACATATCACTTTATAAGTACATATTTCAAAAATCTTCCCCTAGTATGAGAATTGTGCCATTTGTTCTTTAGGTCATCCCTCTTATCTAATTTATTTACCACAATTCTGAGAAGTATAGAATTTAACATAAATTACTCTTTATATTATACTTATTACTCAGGCAAAGCGTAATTTTTATAGTCTTCAATTTTATTTATCTAGTATGAAAATTGTGACATTTGTTCTCTAGGCATCCTCTCTTCTATAATTTATGTACCACCTCTTATCCACCTGCCACACCCACCTATCACATTTGATCTTCCACAAATTGCCAATAGTTCTTCCTGACATTTAATACTATATTATTTATAACCAATAGAAAGCCAAGGTTTTAATCAATCAAATGACGTTTTATATTATGTTGTTTTCTATACAGAGAATTGTATATTTCACTTCCATTTCAAATTTTATTCCCACAGAAAACACATCGATGAGCTTAGCTGAATTTTTATTGGCCCTTGTCACAAAGTTAGAACACCAGAAAAACTGTAAAATTATAGAAAAATTGTCTACTTTTTACATGTTACTATTCTGTGTTCTTTGTTGTATTACTTAACCAAAATTTAAAAAAATTAGTGCAGTATTACTCTTAGTATACAAAAAAAGTAGGGTCAAGTAGCATTGACAGTCAAGTGGACCCAGATAAGTACTATATTTCTTCTTTTCATGTAAAGTCTTTATCTATTATAGAAGTAAGTAAAACATAAAAATTAGAAACTTAGTAAGTTAGATACTGAAAAAAAAATCTTCACATGGTATTCTTGCTAGTAGGTCATCTTATTACATAATTCAATAAGGTAATATTAGCTACAAGTTCACTTATAGATTTACAACTTCTTTGGTGGGATTATTACTCAGATACAGTTTAACTCTTTCAGAACGGGCTTGGTCCCTGGGACCGACCTCATAGCCATTTTGTGCTTGTTATAGTTTTCATGCTATAACTTTTGAATTAGTAAACAAATGTTAACAAAATTTGGTACACTATCAGTAAATATTATAATGCTTTCATACATAAAATATCAAATTTTTTTATTAAGTCTTAAGGTTTGTAAAGCAATGTTTTCTCATGCCTTTTTTTCTTTTCACACAGTGTCTATCTAACATGCAATGTAATTTTCATTTTAAGATTAAAAATTCTTTCATGCATCAGAAAATTTTGAAATTTCACATGCGAAATCTTTATAATGTCCAAATAATTATTAAACATTTCTTAAGAAAAAACTTTATATTTTATCTGTTATTTTGAGTAATGAATCTCTGTATGGGTTTGGTAGATTTCACCAACCTCATAACTACCATAAAAAATTAGGAAATAAATATAAATTATGCCTTTTTTTATTCTAGAATGAACACAAATTATAACCCGAAAACATAAATTTTTGGATTGCTTAAATCTCATAACATTATACAGTTATATATATTTAATATTTTTATTATATTGACCTTTCAGCCATGCTTGGCTAACAATGCAGAAGTTAAAATAATGCAACTCACATGCAATCATGTTACTGTATCCAATAATATAAAAGTGGCCTTTAGTCTTTACAAAGTGACCTGTCTTGGCTGTGTTTTAATC